TGGTACTCTCAGACAGTTTAATCGTGTTACTTGTTTTGATGGTGTGAATAGCGATTTTCCTGCTCAACTCTGTTTTAATTTGCTGCTGGATTAAAATAAATTATTCCAAAAGACTTTTAGATTTCATTGTGGGATTACTCGGCCCACTCCGGGAAAGTACGGGAGGAGAGAATGGCGTTTTAACACAGTCTTTATTAATGTCAGCCTGTAATCCGGCACACACAGATACTTGGGGTCTCTGGACCCCCCACACGTCCACACGTAGCCGTCTGTCCTGCTTCCGCATCAGAGGCCCAGCCTACTGCAAGAGACCAGAACCAGGTTACCAGCATGCTCTTATTGATTGCCTGATCACCTGATTCTGTACAGCTGTCCGATCACCGGCTGAGCCACTCCTCCCTGTCGTCCAGCAGTTGGCCACATCCCGCCGCCACATTCATATTTGCATTTCTGAGCATTTTACCCGCAGCGGTCACCAGGTTGATTTGCTTCAACCGTTTGTAAAACATGGATGGAACAGGAATTTCCGTCTACCCATTTGTTTTTAGAGGGGGTTTGGGGTTTGGGATGTAATGGAGAGTTTTTCCTGCACAAACAGAAGAACAGAGTATAACGGTGAATCTTTACACCTGTATATGTCCTGGCATTGGGTTTAGAGCAGAGCCTCCTGTTCTCCTCTGCAAGTTGCATAGATTTGTTAATGAATAAGACAAAAACTTTTTGCTCGCACATTAATAATGAAGCTGCAGGAAAAGTACAAATCGTCTCCAGAGGGCACAGAGGACGGTGCGTCTGTGTGCAGAGCACCTTAGCGTGGCATCAAGCATGTAACACGTTTAGATGAACCAACGGCAGCCGTGATGATAAAGACACGAGCGGGGGCCGTCATTATAAATTTGGTTCATTGCTTGCAGAGGTACTGGCAGATGCTGCGGCTGAGTGTTAATGAAGACACACTAGATTAACTCCAATTTGCATTTGGATGTACAAGCTCAAAGGAAGAGCCGCTGGCTCTGGCTTCTGACTGGACCACAGATCAGAGACTCGGCTTTGACAGCACCAGCTCGGCAGCAGAAATGTCCATGTTCACACAAGTTGATGAAAAATCTCTGAGATCGATGGAACATCTTGTGAATTCTGTTTGAATTAATTAAGTCCCAAACCGACATCATGCATGTGATATTTATAGCTCCTGGTTTAAAGATCGACACATTTAACTCCCATTGCTACCGAGGAACCACATGGAAAAACACTAATACTTCACTCTTTTTACTCATGCAAAGAATGTGTTGCAGTTATCTCCTTGACTTTAACTTCACAAAAAGCAGAGGTGGGAAGTACTAAAGTACAAATACTAAGTTACTGTACTTTTTTAAGGTATGTGTATTTTACTTGAGTATTTTTAAGACATTTTACTTGCTACATTTTAAAATGGTCTAAAATACTAAAGCACACTTTTCTAGTCTTGATGACACTCAAAGCGTTTTCCAGTACAACCTCATTCCAGTACCATTCAATCATTCACACACACATTCATACAGTGCATCTGTGTGCAGCACTTTCTCTATCACACATCACTCACGCACAGCCATCGCTTTGGCACGTAGAACACGTGACTGGGATCGAACAACCGACCCTGTGGTTAGTGGACGATCCGCTCTCCCTGCTGAGCCACAAATCCTTGCATTTTCAAAACAGGCTTGTTACGTTCGTTTAACACGTTTGAGGAGAATTTTCCATTTTCGTCACCCATCGTGGAGATACAAGACAGATCTCAATCTAAATGGAAGATAACATAGAGAATACAATATCGTTGTGTGTCTATCAGTGCAGATCACGCACAACGCAGGTAACACAGTTTAAAAGCGATTCAAGACGAAACAGACAAGAGAGGGAGACTCAACCGTGCAGAAGAAGCATGTGTCCATGATGAGGAGGAGCAACATGGAAGAAACATCACTGACAACGTTTAAACATTCCCCATCCCTGGAAACAGCAAGACAAACACAACTGTCTGTACTTCTTCTTGAGTAAAGAATTTGTAAGCGCCTGCTGTAAATGAACAAATACAACCTGCTACCTCAGAATGATGGACTGACGTTGTCACATCCTTAAGCATTATCCATACACTAAGACAGATGTGAGAGCCAGTTGTTGTCGTCGTAAATCCCTGCGGACAACAGCAGCTTCTCCTGAGAGATAAAGAAGAAGAAAAACAGCTGACTGATGTCACACCGCCGACCATGTCGCCGTGAGCTTTTTAATGGCCCTGGACAAATACAGTAAATTGCCTGTTTGGATAAAGTGAGGCAGGAGTGTTGAATTTGCAGAATGTGTGAAGCTGCAGCGGTGAGAGGGCGGGAGACGCCGCTAATGATGATGGGAGAAAAAAGACAGAGGACAGGTACGCGCTGTCCCCCGTGGTGTCTAATGAAATACATACAAGTCCAGATTGTCTGTTTCATATCAATTATTTCCTGAATGAATGAAAAACATATTCATTACATGACTGCACCGCTGTCGCACTAATCACCAGATAGCAAGGTAGTTTTTAGTTCCTCGATTTATTCTTTACATGTGCTGAGTAAACATATAATATGGTGTTATTGTCAGAATAACTGTTTATCCAAGAGTCATTTACACACATGCACTAATCCGACTGCATGGATGAAGAACCAGTGCTGTCAAAAGGTCCAATGTATTGGTTTGCTGATAAAAATGACTTTAGTATTTGTCTTTATTTTTGCTGATATGCTCTCACATGAAAACTGTTATTTTACAGAATATTTCATGTTTATATTTTATATTAAACTGTGTTGACTGTCTTATTTCAAGGTCTATGTATTTGTGTTTTCTATTTTTATTGTTATTAATTTGTTTGTTATATTACTGTAATAATACTCCACTGACTTCCATGAAACCTTGTGGAGGGAGCGGACATGGTCCAAGGAAGAACTTGTTAAATTTTGGAATTGTTTTCCACTTTCTTTGACATAGCGAGATAGGGCGTTTGCTCTGGTGCACGTATGCACTCATCACAACACCCTTCTAGATTATAATAAAGTTCATGTTTAATTTTAAATATCAAGCCTTAATGACATCTAAGGAATAATTGCCATCTGCATCAGCTGATATATCGGTTTTTTAGAATTTTTTTAGATGTTATAAAAAAGGTATATTTCAGTATTTTGTCATTCGAACAGAAGTGGAATGTTGACATGGAGTTTCATTGTTTAGATTTTGTCCAATCTACAAGACTGAGAGGTAACCGGCGTTGGTTACTTCCTATCGCTGTTTATACTGAAATGATAGTTGTAAAGACAAGATAACATGGATCTTAGAGGATTTGGACCTGGACATCACTTATACCCTGGAAATGGGAATTTGTACAGAAGAGGTATAAAAGGTATAAATAATAAAATGAACAATGTCTGAATTCTATGTAGCTGCTTCAGATTCATGCTTTGTGTCGTCTCCCTGTCTCATGGTCGTGTCCTATACTTGAACTGAACAAAGCCACAGTTGAGGTCATCACCAACCCCTGAGCTTTTCCTCCAAGAAGAAACATCTGTGGGCTGCAGTTTGTTTCACAGTGTTTACTTGACCTCACCCTCTAACCACAAACTATGTCTTATTCACCGAACAACACACACTCATGAAACCGGAATGAGAAACGCACACACTGCTAATATCTCCATGCATATTAAAACTCTACCCTGACAGAGCATATGCAGCTATCACTGTGAAGCCAATTTCCCAGGCGGCAGCTTAATGTTGCATCAATGGATTAATATTTTGGCGTTCTGCAGGAGCCTGGTTTGTTTGCTGCCTCTGAGGCTGCTGACTCCGGCAGACGGTTATTGATCAGGTTTGTGTTGTACCGGCCTGGGTGATTACTCTCTGACAGACTCCAAAACAAAGGGTTCATAACCACAGCCTGGAGTCAGACAGAGGAGCCTGCAGAGCGGCCCGGCTCCAGGTGGGATAAGCTTCGTAGAGAATAATTAATCACTGGGTTTGTTGGCTCAGATCAGGAGGAGGCTGCTGCTTTTGTAGCATTGTGTCGAGGCCATTTCAGCATCCGCCCTTAGAAACAAAATCCATCACAAGCTAAAATGCTACATGGCCTCAGTGAGAGGCTGTGAATATGGAGAACGTTTCCTCTTTCATTTCCACTCCTCACCCTGAATGTTCTTGCTTTATTTTAAGTTTGGTGAGTGGGTTCGATCTCCTGTGAGAAGAACTGACTGGGAGTCACAGGTTCAACAGTCAGAATCAGCTCCAGCATGTTAAAGAGTCAAGCTGAACTGTAGATCAGTTAAAAAGACTTAGAAGTTGTTAAAAACCAGAGTTTGTCTCCAATATTCAGCAGGAAACCTTTAAAATATGAAGAATTCTAAACAGAGTTTGGTGGATTTGGTACAGCAGCAGCTCTTCTGGTTCCAGAAGCAGGGTATCATGGGTAATATCCATTGTCCAGTATGAGTTGGACTACATGGAGCTCAACTGAATAAATCACCATGTGTGGCTGCAGAGGGCGCTGTTGCTCATTAAAAGTAACATCCTGCTGCTTTAATGTTTTCTAAAACAAGCCTCCATATGGGTTCACAGCTCTGAAAACAAGCTCACAGCCCAACAAAGTCACTTCTCATGCAGCAGCTGCCACCGTCTGCAATGAGCTGAGAACAATTTGTATGCGGCACAATATTCCAGGAGTAAGTATCCAAGTCTTTTTTCACTATGGAGCAGACATTAATGTGAGCTTGAACATAAATCACCTGAAAACAGATTAAAGGTGCTTTGGCTGTTGATCAAATCAAAGAGCACAAGTTGTATGTAAATAAATGCTTCAGGTATATAAAGTAAAATAAGTTAGACTAAAATATTAAATTAAATATCATCTGCTCATCTTCATTCGTAGTAAAAAGCTGCCAGTGGTTATAAAGGTGGAAAAGCAGGAAGCAGCAGCCAAATCATTAAGACATTAAACTGAGTCTTACCATCGAGCTCCTCCACAGAGATGCTGGCCATCACGTCGCTGTCGCTGTCCGACAGCGAGCGGCTCAGGTAGTTCCCCTTGTAGAGCAGGCCGGCCGTCACATGGTGGAACGGCATCTTCTCCCTGAGACACACCAGGAGGAGACATTTACAGGTCAGGGAGGGAGGTTTTTGGGTGATTCATTCTGACCAATGAAGATGAACAAGAAGGGCTGTGAGTGTGTAAACGTCCACCATGGTTAACTAACCCTAACCACAAACAAAAGTTTATTTCATTATTTTTAAAAATTCAAAGGTTTCTTCATTGGGTCACCCACTACACAAAATATAAAGCAAATTGGTTCGGTACTTACATAATTCTGCTAACAAACACCACTTATTACACATTATATATACCCCTAAATATGTGTGTATATATTTATATATAAATCATCAAAATCCATTAATTGTTCTCAAATCAAGGAAAATGTTGAAAACAACAAAGATTCCTCAATCCCCACCATAATGTTTTGGGTTCTCCGACCTATACCACATCCAACCACAGGTTTGGTGGTTATCTGTTTTTTTGTGTCATCCTGCAGACTAACAGAGAAACTGATGCCCTACATTGCCATGTCAAAGAAAATGAAAAGAAATTCCTAGATCAGCCTGTTCATTTGGAAATACTCCAAAATGTAATGGTTTCTTCTTTGGGTCATGTCCAACCCTTTCACAACATTTCATGGAAATCAGCGCAGTAGATAACAAACAAAAGACAAATGCAAAGACAATCAAAAGCTCTACAAATTATACACGTCTAATTAATGTTATCAGACATTCAAATGAGCCACTAATCAAAAATAAAAGGAATGAATCCACTTAAGCCAAATAAAAAGCAACGTGGAAAATGTGAAACCCTGATCGGCTGCAGGGAGCTGGTTCATGCATTTGTGATACTGGTGGAGCGAAAACAAATCATCGTCTGAGGGGCGCAGCGTAAACAAGATCTATAAATGAAGCAGAACTCATTCTCTAAATGGGAAGTCACACAGGGAGGGAGACTGTATAACTAGAAGTAAATGTAGAAAGTGTGTGTGTGTGTGTGTGTGTGACTGAAGCAATCAATTATTCAATAAATTGAAGCCCAAGGGCACAGGAGGAGAAATAAGAGCACATAGAGGAGAGAGATTTCGGCGATTACTTCCTCCTCTCTAATTGGATTTCGTCTCGATGAGCAGGTTGAAAAGGCAGAATTCAAAACACAGAACTTCTCTGAAGCAGCGGCCTGATCGGTATGTTTGTCTCTGTCGTTAGCTGAACTTCACACGCTCCTGAAGAGCCGGTCCTAAAATTACAAAAAGCTTCCTTGAGAGCTTGGAGGCAAGTTATGAGATTGAACTTGTATTTAAACATAATGATGCTCTTTGGAAAGATGTGTGAGGTTTGGTTCTTTGGGTTTGTAATGATATATGTGTGTGTGCATATTCTACCAACTGGAAAGAGGATGAGAAAGAAGAGTTTGCAGTGTTCTGTTCCCTTATGAAACCACATTTCATTTCACTACATCCAGATTTTTATTTGGATCTGCACCAAATTGCACACACTCATAAATAGCAGCCGCCTAATATAGATCCAGGACATAAATGAAATCCTAAATAAAATAAATGACGTTGGAAAACATATCTTTATCTAAGTTTTGAACCTGCAGGTCGTCTGCTGACTCACATACTGAAAACTTCTCCCTGCCTCTTTCTCGTTTGTCAGTTTAATAAGCGAGCACATCAAAATGTCCAGCCCTTCACCCGAAGCTCTCACGCAACTTCAGGATTATTCACTTCCTGAGTCATCAATTATTCAGTCATCTCTCTGCTGTTCTTACGAATGTTACAAACATCCTTCTTGTCCGCTCATTTCCTGTCATCGTTACGAGGAAAGTCGTATATTTCACACAGATGTCCTCTGTGCTCGGTTTACGTTGCTGCAGCCGACATGAAGGAATATTGATCAGAAGAATTTTTCATGCAAGGACACAATCTACACTCAAGTCATTGATATGATTCTCCAGCAGCAGCGTCTTGAGAGGAAATGGTTTTGGAAATGCAGTGGAGGGAGGAATGTTGTGCAGCTCAAACTTTTGGCTTTAAAAAGGCAGACGTCAGCTGTGTGTATTACGTTTTCTGTGTGTGACCTCTCAGCGTGGAGGAGGCAGATTCAGCTTCTGTCCTGAGTTTTCCTTTTTTTTGAAAACACATACATCTCTTTTAATCCTAAGTATGATTTGTTTGATGTTTGCTTTGTCAAACACAGTCTGACGTGAGGAGTAATGAAGCATTTCCATAAAACACGGTGTTAGCGAATTAAAACAGCTGCTACAGTTGGAGCATTGATGAATAAATTGATTGGTCGGTCCAGTGAAAATGACTCGACAGCAAATCATTTCAGTGTTTGAGTAGAAAGCTGCACTGCTCTATTAATTTTTTCATATTAAAACCCAAGGGTCACAGTTTATCTTTTGGGCTAACCCTCAAACATTTCACTATATAATATACAATAGTTTATATTTGTTACTTTTATGTTTCCTGCACAGTCATGTTTTCTTTTAGTTCTACCACCGACCCACCCAGCCTCCACCTCAAGCAGCTTTATTCCCATTGATTTCAGTAACTCTCATATATCTTCAAGGGGAGATAAGAGAATTAGAAACCTCATTGATGTTTAGAGTCCCTCGATGTTTTTGTTCCAACACTGAATCTATCTCTATAACCTTTGGCTGCTTTGACGAAAACAAACAAAACACGCACCGCATCCCTGAACATCATCAATTAAGCGTGTTTACATGTTCTTTTCAGATCAAACTAAAAAAGCAACAAGGAGGTTGAAATCTGACATTGCCGGCAAACACACACAGATTCAGACGAGCACGGCACGGTCCAAGGTTTAGGTGAAAGGATCCATTGCTAGAAATGTAATATAAAATAATCCTAGTGATGTTTTCACTGGTGTGTTTTGTAAGAATTGTTTTCTTTACCCTAGAAAGGGCCCTTGATATTTAAATACTTTATATTTACCTCTCTACGGAGGCTGCCATGTTTTTTACACTAGCCCAAATTGGACAAACTAAACACCTTTCAAGTTTTTATGACAACTGAAGCTACCACAGGTTCTCTCTCATGTTTGGAAGTGGAGGGTGAGGTGAGGGGTGTTCAGCTGCAACACGAAACTTTACCACTAGATGTCACTTAATCCTACACACTGAACCTTTAACAGCAGAAAGCAAATTCAATTATTTTTACTGCAATTTTGTCCAACAGCATCTCAAGGACACCATGTTTATCAGTGCAGGAAATGGGGAAGGAGATAATGTGCTGCAACACCTATTGATCCTGTGCTAAGGGCCTGTTCTTGTGCTGCCATGATTAGTGCCTCTGTGCAGCCTTTCCAGGCACTCCTATGATTTCCAACCACTTATAATGTTTATGGTAGATTACATGACAGATGAAATACTAAGAATAGCATAAACATCAGCATATAAACAAGCATCAGGAAGTGAAAAGGTCACTTTTCAAACATTTATAAAGTCTCACACTAAATAGGCTGTTCATAATTACAGCGTGACCCCTGGTACTCCACCCTGTCAGAGGACGGAGGAGAACAGAGCGGCATCATTACACTTGATTAAATTGATCAGGGTCTGAGCTGAGACCCTGAGGAACTGTAATCACTTAAATCAGGAGGTGATCACTGCTGCCGCCTCAACCACAACTGTTTTTACCCCCCCCCTCAAACAGCCATTCCCTACTTACTGACATGTATCAGTTGAAGAAAAGAAGAGCAGGGGATTATGGGATTTAATGCTCAGATTGACTGGCTGTTAAAAATGAGCCATGGAGATAAAATCAGTGGGTTGTACCTCAGCGTTTTACTGAGCAGGCTGCTGGGCCAAATTCTGAATCAACAAATCTTTAACAATACGTACAGAAATAGTTTTTCTTCTTACACCTCACTGTCAATAAATAATTTGTTGCTCTAATTAATTTGTTAGTCTATAAATTATTAAATGGTGAAATAAATAATCTCAGGGTCAAAATACACATTCGTACAACACTTTTTCTACCACACACCATTCGTGTCGGGGGAAATTTGGGTTCAGTATCTTTCCCAAAGTGCTGGAGGTGCCGGGAATCAAACCACCGAAACCAAAAAAGTAACCAATTCTCACTTATAGGCTATGACAGAGAATTAGGATCATGTTGGAGAAAAGAATTTGGAGGTTCTGAGAATAAAATTTGCTAAATATATTATTATTATAAATAATTATACGAGGATGGAGTTGTAATTGAGATGAATCTTTGGTTCTTCAGTGTGGCCCTAATACTCTGTTGTAGGTAGACCCCCATCCATGAATGACCATCAAACATTTGTATTACTCCTTTTTACCTTTAATAGTATGACATGTGTGGCGGTCTTATAGCAGGGAGCCGAGCTGCTGCACTCAGACAACAACAGTTTAACAATGTGTACGATCACACATGTACGAGCAGATGAAACCCGTCCGTGTTTTATGGGATAGTAACTCAGATTTTACGCCACACTTGAGGCCATGAGCTGATGCTGTTATCCAAATGGACTCTCCGGGACTCAGTGTTTGGCTCAGGAACGCATTGAACAGACGAGTGTTGATGGCTGCACTCGCTCTGATTGGACACGTGGCTTTTAGTCACAGGGACAAACAAGTTGCCACTGTGACGTCTCCGGAGCTTTAGATGTAAATCCAGATGTATTTCCACGCCACAATAAACCGATAACAAGTATATTTCTTTCTGACAGTCAGGTGACGGGAAATGATGGGTAAGTTTGACATCTGAGTAACATGTGACCACAGATAACGTTCAGAAATATGGAATGTCTGAGAAGTATGTTTTTGGTTTGTCGGTTTGTCTGGAGGTTTAGAACTCATTTTAGGAGCTGATATCTTTCGTGCAATTGGTGCAGTTTGATTGAATTTAAGGCGAATGTGGGGCCCCTCTAGCTCGAGCAACTCTACACCTCGCATGTAAAGAAAATAATAAAAACATTTGATCACAGACTATGAAATCTTTCAAATCCTGCTTTTCCCTGCAAAGCACTTAACACAACCTGATCCACTTGAGAGACACAGTTCAAAGAAAGGAAGGAAGAAAAAGCTCTGCACACTAACAAGCAACAGCGTCTTTAACCTGAGGAAAATGATCTGATTCATTACAACCTCTGAACACCTTGAGTGATCCTGAGCAACGTCTCGGGGCAGCGGCTCATCTCTCTTTTATCTGACGGATCACAGTGATTAAAGCAGTAAAATGTTGCATGTGGGGCGGCTGCATACATCACTGGGTTTAGTGATGATGATCAGTCAGAGTAAAAACCATTCGCAGCATAAATTCAAAGTGTATTTCCACTCATTCACAATAAAACCATTTCAAGGCTACATAAACTATTACTGCATCATTATAGAGCTTTTAAGTCTTCGCAGTGCTGTGAAGACCAGGTCACAGCCGACCTGAACCCAATTACAGCACAGACATAAATAAACCTCCGCTAAACTTGTGTGCATGGGAAACACTCAACATGCTGCGACACTTCAAGGATAAGACAAAGATGACTAATCAAAAACACTCAGGAAGACGCCATGTTGCCATTAAAATGCCGCCTGTCCTCAAAACAACATGGATTTGTGATGCACCTTAATGCAAAATAATAAAAACATTTGATCACAGACTATGGAGGTGAGGGTACGAGATCAGGAAACTCAGATGTGGACAAGTAATCAACCCTGAACCTGACACCCAGTAAAACAAACCAAATTTTGCACACTCGGAAATATCAATTATCCCATTTCTTTCATCAAGATCCATAAATAACTCTGCATCACGTTCATCACGAGTTGTGAAGTCGTTTGCGAATTTGTTGTGTGGAGGCTGTAAACAAAATGTGTTGAATTTGTGTTTTTAAGGCGTTTAAACAACACAGACACCTCGATGTTTACATGATAACAAATAGCAAAGAGAAGGATCATAGAAAAGTAAAAAGAAGCATATAAATGATTTGTAACAATCAGAAAAACATCTGTATTGTGAAGTTAGTGTTGTTCGGTGCTTGTGAGAGACGGACAAACAGCAAGTGACAGAAGTAACATTTCACAAAACTACTACTTAGAGCCGATGAAAAATTTTGTTTATTTTTAAAAATCAGCAATCTGGCAACTCAAACAATATTTTCGACAGCTTTCCGAGTTGATTTGAAGCGACGATCACATGAATTCTCCGAGTCGTTAACTAATATTTATGATGATTCTGGACCCACATGAACAGACAACTGCTCCCTGGGAATTTGGTGAAAAACTTGTCCACGCCCATATATGGCGGAAATCACTGCAATAGCTTTTGCATAATCTTTCTGACAAACAAACAAAACCACCCAACAATGAAACGGACAGGGACGAAACCTAACTAGCTTGGACATCATTGGTGTCGGTAATCCAAAATAGAATATTCCTGTTTCTTATTGTCCGCATTTGAAAACCATAAAACAGCAATTCATTGTTGTTTGGATTTCATAAATGAATCAAAATGTTAATGTATCATCAAAATTGTCCAGAAAAAGAAAATATCTCAGAGACAAATTACAATGTGTCTGACATTTCCATGATTCTTCCAGCACGTCGATCTTCTGTGATATAACATGTCAGTCAGACCTTTGAGTTTAAACCTCTCTGACTTTAATGTCTGAGTTCCAAACCCCTCGCCCTTTCTACGAAGAGAAAACTCCTTGACCCACGAGCGGCATCAAAACACCAAACCAGCCCTCAGCTCGGCTCCTGACTCTTTGAAGAGAGCGAGAAGGAAAGAGCTCAGATTTATTCAAAGCTTTCTGCATGACAAGGAGGCCAGATGGCAATATCTCACATCGCACCCCGCAGCACAACAGCCAATAGCAATGGGCCGATACAGAGGGGGGCACAAGCAGAACATTGTGTACCGGCGACAGACCCTCCGGCCAAATAATCAAAAATGTACACCAGGAAAATTAACCAGTAGGTTATCAGCAGAACAGAGGGGAGGTTAAAAGCTCCTGCTCTGTGTTGCTGCACGTTTACTTTCTGATCACATCCTTATCAGAGAGAACAGAGGACTACATCTGTGTGACGTCGCAGGGGGAGGAGTGGTCACATTAGAAAGTTAATTAAAAAGTTTCCACTCGAACTAAAAGATGAAGCAGCAAGTTTTCAGCCTCACTGGTTTCTCCAGCACGTACAGAGGAAATTCGAAAACAGGGGGCTGGTGATGAAAACACACACATGAGGAAATGATGATTTCTATGGAATCTGTGAACTTTACATCAAATCCGAGGTGAAGTATTCTGATCATATATCAGTTTTATTGTCAGTCTCACACAACTGATGAATCTGTGCACATTTCATAGTCATCACTCTGCAGCAGCAAGAACACAAATAAGATGCTAAAAGGCATGAGTGTAAAAACAGGGCAGGTCATTATCAAGATGCATTCATTACCAACTGATGCCTTCTGTCGCTCTGCTGTGAATAAAGAGGTGAAATTATTACTGAGGATCAACCAGACACATGCATGAAGCTTCTGTCGCTGCAATTAAAGGTTAAATGTCTTTCCCAGTTGATGAAATGTGCAGCAGAGGCACTTGAGTGCTTGGAAACCCATCAGCTGGGTGGCAAAGGTAATTCATCAAACCATCACTGCTGAACAGGAGTCAAACGTCCACCAAACTGTCCCACAGAAGTCTCCCTGTCTCACTGCAGCTACAGACCCCGTCTCTGTCTCTCCCAGGCTGATCCTTACCCGCACTGGTTGCCGGGATTGTACTCGGCAGGATACTGCAGCACAACAGGCTCCCTGACCGGACTCTCCATCACGTCCTCCGTCCCGTCCCTCAGGCACGGGTTCCCTGGCAAGTCTCCGTTTACCTCCGAGTGCGTCCCCGGCGGAGGACCGGAGGGCTCCAGCGTCTGGGGATCGGGCTCAGTGACCTCCTCCTCCATCAGACTCTCAGATGCAGCCTCCAGCAGCAGACGGCCTGTCCACACACCACTGAGACGGGCTGCCTCCACAGTTTGGGCTTGTCCCAGAGCAGCAGCATCAGTTCCCAGAAATCCCTTGTTTAATATTTGAGCAGTGAGAGCAGCAGGTACGACAGCTCCTCTCATGCTCTCCCTCCTCGGCTCCTCACTCACTCCCTATCTCTATCTCTCCCCCGACTCTCTCTCTTCCCTCCTTCGCCGGCTCACTCTCTCCCCAGCACAAGCATTCCTCCACATGGGGAGACAGAGTGGAAGGCTCATTAGTGAGTCCCAGTGACAGACTCAGCCCTGCCTGCAGCCACGCTCGCAAAACACACAGGGAGGAGAAGATAGATGGGGTGGGGGGGGGGGCAGGAGGGAGGGAGACAAGATGGGATAGGAGGAGAGAGGCAGAGGAGACAGAAGGAGAGACGGGGTGTAGACAGACAGTCCTGCCAAAAGAAAAGGACATGGGAGAAAGGAGGAAGCAAGACTGACAGATGAGGTGAAAGAACAAGAGAGAGTGTTGGTGAGTGTGTGTGAAGCATCCACCCACACACACACACACACACACACACACACACACACACACACACACACACTGAGGACATTACCTCGAATAACATTGATTACCTGTAAACGTATTACCTTATCCAAACCTTAACCTAAACCTTAAAATATGTCTTGACCTTAAAATGTGATCATTGATGTAATGGGGATTTGTTTTTTGTCCCCATAATGTGAATGAGAAACAGATTTAGGTCCCCACAACGTACCAGGACCACACACACAGTATCCTTATCATGACTTTGACCTCCATTCATTGTGGACAACCTAAAGACATTACTCCTAACTTCACTCATGTCAAGTTCATGCTATATACTCAACCTACATAACCATAATTCACATCTTAACTAACCATAACCAGGAGCTTAGAAATAAGGTTTTGCCTCAATAGGACTTTGGTCCCCATGAGGTGTACTGGTCAGTGTTTATACTGGGACCGGTGGTGAAGAGGTGACAACAATGAGTCCACACACGCACGCACACAAACACTTTGTGAATTGTAGTGAGCTCTCATGCAACAAAACAACGTGCGCCACCATGTGGAGCTCGAGCGCGCATTGGATGCTGCGTAACTTGGAGGATGGATGGTGATGATGGGTGGCTGAACAGTGTCACAGCTCCACGACATCAGCCCCCCCCCAAACACGCACACGCAGTTCACACGCCCGTGAACTGCGTGTCATGGGTGTGAAAGGAACTGGAACAGCGACCATCATCATCATCAAGATGCGTAAACGCTCCAGTAAAGAAAAACACTGCGCTCACATCCTCTGATTTCTTATGATTTACTGGCGTCATTTTAAATGGAATACACAGAATTATATCTGTCACGTCATGTTTGAAATTCTTGATATTCATCATTTAACATCTTAAGCAGGTCAAAAGTCAATAACTCATTTAAAAACTTGAGGGGGATTTCTCACTTTTGGCGAAGCTCATTACGCATAAAAGTAAATTATGAATGTGACTTATTTCTTCACACACTGTGCAAAGTTTACCATCAGCATATATGAGAATTATCAGTATTATTATTATCATTATTAGTGGACACTGATCCAAACAACAGGTGCCTGACAGAAAAAGTCTCATTCCTCGGAGCTTACCTCTGAGGGTGTTAAGTGTGAGCAGGTGATCAGTCAGATCCGATAATCGATCCCAGCGGTAGAATCCAGTTTACAGACTCCGGGGGTTTGAATCCTCAACCAGCCTCGAGGATCGATCCGGTTCCTTTCTTGTGTTATTGGTGAATAATTCCTTTATTCCGGGGATTCAGAGCAGCCGTTTATTCCCATGGTAATAATAATACAAAAGATGGAAATGTCACTCTTGTTTTTTTGTCCTCGAGCCGCTCGAGTTCCACTTTTCACCAACTCTCATCAATTCTTCTGTTTTTATTTCCTCTCTCGCTCCTGCTTGTATCCGAGGATAATTACGCACGGAGGAGAATCCCGCTCAGGGCTGAATTCACTGCTCAGCTCCGACGACTCAAAGTAAATATCCATGCACAACAAACACACACACGCGCGCTCATACGTGTAGATTGCGGGTAAAATTGATTAGAGGAGCGCGTGGCCGGAGGAGACGCTCCAACCCAAGCCAATGCGCAACCAGACTGAGCGCGCTGATTGGCTAATTTCAAACTTGTTCGTCGTTTTATTTCGTCGTTTATATCCGGAGGGAAACACGTGTAGAGTCGAACTCTGTTCACATGACACGCTCAACCCGTCACTGATTTTATTCCCATCCTCTGAGAGAATTTTAATAAATGTAGGTGAAGAAAAATTTAATAAGATGATGAGTTCCGGACCTTCAAAGTAAAAGCCCTCACTGGCCACCACCATGACAAATCATCATTGTTTATTTATTCCAATAATCATGACTTGACTAATTCTACGACAGCAAAGCTCATTTATAAATGATCCTCCAGTTTCCAGTGTCCTTATTGTGTTTTCCTAAACTTCACAAAAACAATGATTTTTATTTTACCCATGGCACCACTTTCTATTTAGAGACGTTTTGAGTAGCAATTACCTGTTTTATTCTGATAAATCAATCTTCTTCTTCTTTCGGCTGCTCTCTTTTCGGGGTCACCACAGCGGATCATCTGCCAATATATCCACTACCCCTCCTATTTGTGATCCGCATGTTTGTTTTGGCACAAGTTTTAAGCCGGATGCCCTTCCTGACACAACCCTCACCATTTATCTGGGCTTGGGACCGGCACTAGAACTACCCAAAAGTGTGTACCTAGTGGCTGATTTATTCTGATAAATCAATGTTGGATGTAAAAGTGTATGACAAAGAACAAGAACAGGAAAGAACGAATTTATATTGGTTTGATTATTGGTTTGTGTTTGCTTCATATTCAGATTTACAAATTCCGATGGCAAACAATTCACACTCTAATGGTGTCTACCTTGGTTCTGTCGAATAAATAAATAAAATAATAGTAATTATAATAGTAATAATTGAAATCACATAAAAGACATGACAACATGTAATGAACATAAAAATAAAATAAGAATCTGCCCACTGAATAATACAAATAAATTAGGGTTAACGATGACTATAAATGAAGTTGGTAATGAAACATGAAAACAAGTCAAACATAACATTATAAAAAAGAAGAAAAGTAATGTGGATAAATGTGAAACATGGCAGAAACAAGGAAGATGAAGCTGAGGTAATAACTTTTTTCACTATTTCAATGTCCTGCATCACTAAAATACACTTAAATTCTTTTCAACCTGCCAAAATGTTGAAAATCTAAACGTCCTGTAAATAATCTCAAAGCTCATGTACGCGGTTCATTTCTCCTGACGGCTGTAAGTTTGATTGCGGAGCTCCTTATGCTCTCCCACTCTCTTCCTCTATTTCACTTCCTGTCAGTGTAATCAAAACCAATGTCTGATGTACAGTATATTGTATATATTGTAACTTCAACTGAGGTCTTAATCTGAATTCAGGGTAAGGTGCCCACTGGGAATATAAGACGAAGGGACATGTTTACTGTCACATTTAGGTTGATTACTTTTCACATTTGAAGGCTTTTAGAAGGTTTTCACTCAGAGTGACTTGGTGCGAGTCAGCAGGAAGGACTATACTCGTTTTGGTCATTTTATCTTCCCTGTGAGGGGTGAAGGAATGGAGATTTTCTGCCGCACACCTGCTGAACTCACATTTTAAGTCAGTTCACCGTCCACTGCATTAAACCAAAACAGTGGCTCGCTGTAAATAAATGAAGATATTTTTCTCTAAATCAGGAGGTCTGTGAACGTGTGCTGCATCTTTACTCAAATGGACGTTTGGGTCGTTTACAGACAATAACATACGATACAATATTAAACATTTAAAAACATTTGTTAAACAAAATGACTAAGAGCGTTTCTCCAAAGCCTGAAGTGCATCAATGAATGAAACAGACAAGAAAAGAGAAACAAACACGTCAGTTTTGATGTTGAAAGACATATTGTATCTCACTGTGACTGACATGACACCTGACTCACTCAGACCTGCATGGTTATTACAAGCAGATTGATTTGGACACTCATGTTATATATATATATACACACAATTAAACAAACACATATACATAAGTATATAAATAATTTTGTTGGGAGCAAACCGTATCTTTTTGTCCAGATTCTGTTCAACACGTCAGTTTGAGGTTTAAATTCATCACTATTGAGATATTGTGTTTAAATTCGACCAGTAATTGTACAGTAGATATGAATTATATTCATTAGATATATATATTAGAATTAAATCTTTAATCGGCCACTGAAAGTGTTTACATACAGTAGTGTACTACTGTACTATGTATTTTTCTCAGGCTGTGGCTGTTTGAACGTCTCTGAACATGAGTAAAACATCAATTGAAACCTGATTACCTCAGTTTGTTAATGGCTGTAATGACATGTTTCACACAGGAGTGTGATTAAAATGCACATGAGCAGAGTTAGTTAATGAGACGCCACCGTAGAGAAATTACTGAATAAGCCAGAGAGGGAACTTTGAAATAAACTGCAGTCTTTGCATTTTTATCATTTTTTGGGTTTATCGAGTGCCTCATGCAGGGAACACTGTGAGCCATTTTCCTTTCACACACACACGCACACACAAACACACACACACACACACACACACACACACACACACACACACACACACACACACACACACAATCTGTGCTCAGTTCCTTCACCAGTTCAGCCTCGGAAAGCTCGCCATGAGGTGTGTGTATGTGCATGTGTGAGTGTGACTGCATGTCTCTGAGTGTCGGACTGTGTGTGTGTGTGTGTGTGTGTGTGTGTGTGTGTTCTCAAAGGAGTGAGTCACAGTGTCTCTGCTCCTGCTTTGGCTTCATCAGACTTTTTAAAAGGGGAATCTAATGAGTCAATAAGTCTGTTCTGGATTCGCTGCAGTGAAATTAAAATTCATTCAAATCATTCAAATAAAATGAAGTCCAGGCAAAGTAAAGAACTATCAGTTAGCATGAAGATAAAAATTCTATCTGATAAATGAATTGCCTAAGTTCACGATGAAATGTTATTCTTCTCCAGGGACGATAATTACACAGAAAGATAACATCAAATTAGACTTATCAGTTCAAGGTGATTGGACATTGA